ATTAACTGTGGTCATCCTTTGTTAGGTCATTTGCAAGAAATTTCAAATTCCCTGTGGAGCAGAACTTGATCTAATTAACGCAACTGCGAACATTACCATGGAGCAATTGTTGCTTGCAAATGAAACAAATATTAATGCAACTTATGATTCCTGTGTACCAAAATATTTTATCTTCAACTCAAAGGTAATAATTAAACTAAGTAAATATAATTGTGACTTCTTCAAAGTCTTAACTAGTCATGAAATTTCCTGTTCACTCTATAAAAGCTATTATAGCAATACTAAGATCAGTATCTTGCTTATTGTCCTTGAATTAACTTGAATATAAGTATGGGTGAGGGAACAATTTCATCTTTACCCAGTTGTTTGACCAAACAGAATATTTCAAGAATAAACTAATGATACCACCACACTTATACCAGTGTGGTATAATCAGGTATCATCTCATACAGCTGGAGTTTTCCTTCCCTGCTCTCATGCTCATTTAGTGAAACCTTTAAAATTCTATTTCAATGCTAAATAGTCCCATGCTGTGCATAAAATGCAGTGCCATCTCTACAATTGTATTTTTTTAACAAATGAAGAGAGTTGTTAACCTGCTTGGTGACTTAAATAAAAGTAGATGTGACTAACAATTGCGTGCTAACAAATACTTTTCTAGTATTTAGTATATTTGAGTAGGTTTAAAAATTCCAATTGCCTTCAGGCTATTTACTTCTCTTCCACCTAATCTTTTTCACATGGAAAGGTTGATAAATAGAAAGGGCAATTATAGATAATAGTTTGAACTGTACATAAAATAAGGAGCAATATGAATGAAAAAAAATGTAAAACATGCTGTTTAGAATTATAGCTCTAGTTTTTGAAGAAACTATGTGTGTCTTTTAAGTTAATATAGAAATAATCATACATCTATTTTATGTTTTCCAGACTGTCTATGCTGTACCAATCCTGACATTTTCTTTTGTCTGTCATCCTGCTATTCTCCCTATTTATGAAGAACTGAAAGGGTATGCCATGTGTATTGACATCTGTCTTGTGTTTTCAAAGAATTGCATATATATATGGAATGATGTATTTCATAAATATTCATAGCAATTTATTTGTTTTTCTATAATAGCCGAACACGCAGAAGAATGATGAAAGTATCCAATGTTTCATTTTTTGCTATGTTCCTCATGTATCTTTTGGCTGCTCTCTTTGGATACTTGACATTTTATGGTAAAAAAGCAACTCTTCTATTTTAAGTTTTGCATGTTAATTTTTTATATATCTTTGCAGTGTGAAGAGATCAACTATAGAGTAAAGCAAGATCACGCTGTTTTATCTTTATGTAAACATGTGCTCCATTGTAGCATTTGTATTAAGAAGGCAATTTACTTCCTTCTGCAGAAAAATAAGTTCCACAAATATTTTTTAGTAAAACCTCTCTAACACCCCTTGGGGGTGGGGGGAGGTGATCTGTTAAGACACAGCCTGTTTTGCCTTAAAATGGCTTCTACTGTACAGTGCAGTGCAGTTGCCATGGTAATGGCGTCACAATACTCCACAAGGGAGCTCCCTCTGGAAAGGGGGAAAATCCAACATTAGAAATTACATTTGGTCCGGACATTTTCCCCCCTATAAATAAATACCTGGACCACACCTGGTTATCAGCTAGTTACTAAGAAGAAGCAAGTCCTACTGGAATAATACATGTATTTCCTGTAGAGATTTCATGAAAAAGGCTCTTCAATTATTAATAGCAAACCTGTCAGTCATTTTGAGACCATATTATGGCCACACACAGATTTAAATGGTTGCCAGGGAGGTTAAGACCAATTTGTGAATTTTTTGTTAAAGTTATACTGAATCACACTCACGTTGTGACTGATTGACTTCTGTGGAAGGAAAACAAAGAGTCCATTACCTGCGAAGGGCAAGATGGGGACTCTATTCCTGGTTCCACGTGGCATTCCATTCTAATCAAAGCTGTTATAAGGAGGAAGAGTTCCGAAGTCTGACTCATATTATAGACTGTCAGTAACTTTCATTCGGGCAACAGCTCTATAATTTAATGGCACTTTGTTTATTCAACAGTGTATCACTGCTTTTAGCTTTGCAAGCTTTGCAGCTTTTGCAATACACAATGTGATGTGCAACAATAATAGAAATACCATAATGGTATTGAATGGGAATACTGATAAACA